CACTTTGCCAAAACAAACATGACGTCATCAATCCCATGATACACTTTGCCAAAACAAACATGACGTCATCAATCCCATGATACACTTTGCCAAAACAAGCATGACGTCATCAATCCCATGATACACTTCGCCAAATCAAACATGACGTCATCAATCCCATGATACACTTCGTCAAAACAAACATGACATCATAATGCGCTTCGCCAAGAGCATCATGACGTCACTAAGGACCATTTACTAACCTTGCATAGGTCATAGTACGACAAAGATGCCACTGAGCATGTCGGGAGAATTTATTAAAGGATTTCATTCCTCGTAATAGCGTGACGAGTTTATGGATCTCGGCGTCAGTCCTGTCTGAAGGATCCAGTGCGCAGGTCCAACGAGCCCAGAAAGGAAAATGAAGCTGTTAGAGAGGGGCGAAATGTAGATTAGCATTGAATTGAAATGGGACGGGGGGGAGGAAAAATTCCATGGCCTGCCATGATCACGAAAACACGATTCAGAAGAATGCCAAAAACTTTTTTYTACCGCAGGGCGCTAAGGAGGGGTGAGAATGGATGCGCACCGCTACCGAGAAGGCACAATTGATTCGTTTTATGTTKTGAGAAAGATGGATTAAAAACCTGATATTCTGCGGTAAAAAATGAAATGGCTGAATCACGATCCGTAAACCACCATGGTGGTCCCACATATGAGAATGAGGTGCTGCCGAATATCATTGATAGTTTTTTTTTTCTATTTTCAGTGGCCTAATGACTTTATGATACCTACCGTGTTGTCTCTAGAGAAGAGGTGTTTGTTGAAATACAGCGAGGCTTCCTGTACAGGCGTTGGTTTGTCTTCGTTGTCAGGTAACATGTCACGGAGATAGTAAAGGTCGTACTCAGTGCTCTTCTCTTGCTCGGCGTAGCGTCTGATTCCCATACAGAAGGTACTGAATATACTAACTAGTCGTACAGCATGACGGAACTTTTGTAGCAGCTGTGATGTCAATCAATCAATCAATCACTCACTACTCGATCATTCACTTAATACGATAACCAATCGATCGATCAATCAATTAGTCAGTCGGTCAATTAATCGATCGGTCAATCGATCAGTCAGTTAGTCAACTCATCGATCAATCGATCAATCAATCGGTCATTCAATCAATCAATCAATCACCCAATGGATCAATCAATCAATCCCGGTAGTCAATCAATCAATCAACCAATCAATCAATCTTTACTCCGACGAAGGATTAACATCCGAAACGTCAGTAAGTTATTTCCCATACTTTTTTACGGTGTTAAACTTATCTTTTTTACACAATCGGTCAGTCAGTCAATCAATCAACCAATCGATCAATCAATCGATCAATCAATCAATCAATCGGTCAGTCATCAGTCAGTCAGTCAATTAATCAGTCAATCATTCTCATAATTTATCAGTGAATCATGAATATCAACTGTCAGTCCAACCAAAACAATCAAATTTATTAAAACAGTTAATTTCATCATCTAGACGACACCCCAGACAGGCTATTAAATATTTACACATGTAAATCCGACCTCACAGACCGGGCAAACATGATGTCTCCATGACAATAGATCTAAACAATGCGCATTTGCAAATACGTGGAGTGTAAACACGAGTAGTGCTTATGGTATTCTTGTTGAAATAACTAGTGTCTTTCGTTTAAATCTTTTATATTATCAAGTTTTCAATATATTAGATGCTTTTTTCTACGCATAAAGTATCTAAATTTTCTATCTAAACTCAAACTTTTCTCTAATACCGGCCGGCTGTTGAAGTGTTTTGTCAAGTTTATGAAAGTTTCAGATGAAAATGTGATTATCTGAGCTAGGATTTAGTAAAAACTTCGTCAAAGATATTAGAATTCAACTTAATAATTTCGTTGTTGTTTAATTACTAATCTTAAGTTATGATGATAAATGGTTTTCTATAGATTTAATATTATTAGCATTTCTGCACTACCACATCAAACTTTAAAAACCTTTTATGTATAAATTTAGCAGTTTTAGCATTTCGACTATACAAGCCGTCACAACAGACTGTGAATTGGTATTCTATTAACGAGTGTTATTATAATTCACACCTAAGTTAATTGGTATTTACTTAACTGTATAGACTTACCATGGACTTTTGCTCCTTCAAATTATCACATTCTTGTTCTAACTCGTCAAATTCTTCCAAACCGCTGAAAGATCTCAGTCTTATTAGTCCMGGTACACGAGGTAAAGTTGGATTCGAGTTAGACCGTGAAGACCGTCCGGTTTCACTYTCYGCYGTGGGAGTACTTAAAYTTCGAGTTTTCGAYGAGGCAGAGCTTGTTCTCGATGTCATTCTTTCATTATGATTAAAAACAMTTCTTTCTTGTTCAGCTGGGAGGCCATTCCCATTAATAAACACRACACTTCTTCTATGTTCTGGTTTATTTTCTCGGCGTAGTATMGATGAAGTGAAAGGTCTTTGCCTTCCTCTTGTYCCTGATGAAGAAACCCGAGAAGTTTGAGGCCTTGAGCGCCTCTTGTTTGTCAAACTTCCCATCTCTGTGGAMAAGTCTTCTCGTTCTCCTTGCTGYTGAGATTGTGGCCTTGGAAGGCAGTGAAATGTTTTTGATCTTCGGTAAAGCAAACGACGATAGTTCTCATCTCTTGGCTTCTGCATTGTAGTATGTGAACTTTATGTCCTTCTTTTTGACAGTTAACGTTTTGAGACGGTAGATATCGACGCAAGACAAGAGTTAAAATCTTTCAAAGTGTAAACCATTATGCTCAAAAATTACTCCAAACATTTCTAACTCCGTGTTCTGATATAAATTTARGCTAATGCATAAAGTGTTAGCAATGAGAACAGTTATAATCCATAGTTCAACACAACATCGCTAAACATTTACAATCCAACGTCATTGATAAACCTCTGTTWGCCAAATTTACATAACATTACGTGTAAAACCGCTAATGTCAGTTGACCTTTATATTTCACTCAAAACAAAAACCCAAATGTATTCATGTACAATGAAATATTCTCACAATAAACCGTGGTCTATTGGCCAAGCAAGRACTGATTAATTGTGGAATAATAGGAAGCTTTGTAAACGATATATGGGGCCTTTTGTTCAAGCTCAAGGACTCTTTTATAGGATAAATTTCAATAGAAAAAAATTTCATGGTTCATTTATGGCCTTGCAAAGAAGGCCTAYATTTAGTCTACTTTCCCCTCCCCTCCACGTGAAGATTAGTCCCACCCCAGCTTTCGAAGATCAAAAAGTCGATCAAAACTCGAGGACCGCCGAACCCTGGATTTACGCTAATCGGGSTTTGCACATCAAGGCACAGATTTAAAAGGAGTTTGCATAAATTATACATGTGTTCTAGAAATGAAGGAATGTTATAATGCTAGGAAGTAAGGTTTTTCCGGGAGAAAKACCCTTGGAATTAAATTTGGAAAAATTAATTTCCTTTCTTTCTCCCGGAATAACCTCCTTCCTAGCACACTAACATTCCTTCATTTCTATGTCATGTATCTCATAGTGCCATGCGGTCCTTACATTCATTTCTATACATGTCTTGCCCAATAGCCTGAGTCTTCTTCACGGTTCCTTTAGCCATCTTGAAAGGTAGCTGTGCCTTTACATCGAAGCGAGACAACTATTGAGAGTACAATGATAAATACCTGTGAATAATTGTCTGTAGGTGTGAAAGAAGGTTTCTATCATTGCATGCTCAACGGTCGTCTCGCTTCGATGTAAAGGCACGGATACCTTTCAAGATGGCGCTGGGAACCRTGAAGGAGACTATTGTGGTTCAAATTTCTGAGTACATGTACCCCAACTCTATTGGTTTTAGCCTGTAATGATGACATGTTTTTGAGGCTGAAATCGTTGTTTTTTCAATAAGATGTAATACTTTATCATGTAGACATATTTGAAGTGTTTTATTTTTCTTTGAGTTCAAAAAATAATGTTTCATTTACATTTGTTAGTATTTCACGCGTACTCACTATATGCTCAAAGTTCTGATTCAGTTACATTGAGTCTATTCGATTCGCAGTTAATCTTCCAAATTTCTATCATTTTTTAGAGGTTTCCATTCTGATCTCTTCTGATAACATCCGAGCCTTGCTGCCAACTTGCACATCTCTTGAAATCGCGGAATACTCTGGAAAAATAGAAAAACACAATCAGATCGAGGCTTCACTGTCATTCTCCRTGTCRTTGGGATCCCTGTCTCACATGAAATCGGGAGAATGGGACGAGAAGGACAGGAAGCAGTATAACGGCTGTAGGTTACTTGGAATTTGATAATTGCTTCTGATGCCGATGCCGTGCCGTGTCCGTGTTGTGATCCATGCCGTTGCACAGTCATACGAAATCAGCTCTATTTGAGACAACGCATGCTTTCATTTACTGATGAACGCGCCTACACAAGAATTGAGTTCGTGGATTGCACGYTCGCAAAACACAGAGAATAGAAAATGTTTAACACCGAAACTTAAAGCAAGCCCTTGTGTCTCTGTTCTCTGATTTGAATACGATTGGAGATAGAGAGAACTCGAAAAGCAATAGAAACAATTGTTTTAAACATAGGTCTGGGGTTGGAAAATGAGACGTCTAAAGAAACCGTTAAGCTAGTGCATATAGACTGGCCCGTCGCACTCGTTACGTTAATTTGAGAGGCGTTTCATCGAGCCCGAAGTATTGTATCTTTGGAATTCATCAATAGATTTTGAGTTTTTTGGCTGAGTAAGGGCGCGGCGGTAGAAGTGTTRCTGACCAGACAATATATTACCAGTTAGTTCAAAGGTGTGAAAATTAGAAGGRWWWTTTTGCTGCTAACTGCACGCAATATGCTGGTATCCGGCATCTTTTAGTTTACTAAATATTTGTAGAACTAAATCTATACTAAATTTAGACATAGCGAATTTCTGTTCATTCGTTCAACCGTTCTCTGAACTGAAATAGACTTTTGAAGTTTTTACGGTCAAAAATTCACGTTCCTACCTCATCTCCAGACTCTTTAGTTTCTTTGGTTTTTCGAGTCGGCTGTCTTTTCCTTCCTTTTGGACGCAAAAACAACCCCGAGCTCAGGGCGTCGTCTTCTTTGACCAACATCCCAAGAAAGACGAGGAGTAACAATGTTATCATAGCCGTCTTCATCTTCAAATCTTATCTTGTGTGAGAGAATAACCTTCCTCGAGATTATTTATACTTAAAGGTTAAATATTTAATTAGATGATTCATGTARAGAAATATCACTTTATCCTTAATTGAGCTGTTTAAAACTTTATTGAGTTAACATTGTCAAGTTTTTACTTTTTAGAAATAATTGCCATTTCTGATCACTAATGTTCGTTTCTTTATATGCTGAACAAACTGATTCTCAATGATTAAAAAAAGATTCTCAATTGAAATTGAAATATATTGATTGCAGAGATTTCTAAGTAGTCTTTATATTATAAAGGTTTTTTCTATTAATATTATATACGGTGACTGTTTTAATATAAACGAACGATTTGATTGGTTAATGAGWGTGCTTTATGAGAGTATAATTCACACGCACGCACGTCTCTTCTGATTCCATTACGATGGAGTTGTAGCACAGGAAGCCCTGATCACAACGTACGCCGTATTCTTATAGCAAAGCCACTTCATGTTATTTCTCTACAAAGCACTGTGGTAGCGATTTTGGGTGTGGAATAACTTGTATTACCTACACGTGGTGCCACGCCCACCTATAGCTAATAAGAGAAATTCTGACTGTATGATATTTCCTTTTGATTGTCTCCCTCAAAATACGTTTAAATATTTATAAAAGYACTTCTACTTAAAATGACCCGATTCTTGTGACTTAGCGTGGGTTTGAGAAGTGCCGTTTAGCACAAAATCAAATGAAAGAGCAGTGTTTTAGTATTCCCGGCTCGCTTCTAAGTTCGTTTTMCCTTTTATTTTAACCGGTACTTTATTTGAAGACACGGGCAAATTTTAGCGTATCTTTATAATGTATTTATTCGTCCTAGAGGATGGACTCAAATCTAAGGTTTTTGCTTGAACGGAGGTTTAAGGACCGCGGTGCGCCCACAATTGTTAAGATCGGTTTCTTCAATAGACGTTGCTTTGTAAGTCAGTCTTTGCTAGTTCGTTGTATAATTTCCGTTCTACTTTCTTTACACTAAAATACATGGATTCACTTTCTTAATTATTTCAGCTCATTTAMCTAATGATTATTACGTTATTTTTCGCKTGCGTGCTTTTGACGTAAAGTTATGTCATGGAAACGTAAACGTRCGTGTAGGAATGCCCTTCCACAAGCCCACTCAAGCTATTTGTTAAAGTGTTTGATGCGATGAATAGATATTTGTCATATATTGTAAAGTGTCTATAGTTTATGTTGTAAGTGCACTTCAATCAAGTTCTAGAAAGACTTTATGTAACATTCAACTTGTCGTTTATTAAACTGACCTCATAAACATTGTTATTTATTTATTTTTTAATGTCGTTTAGCTTATCGTGGTTTATATTAGAGCTTTAAAAACACAAGTGAAAAAACGTTTGTTTGGTTTAATATCACAGTAGAGTCTTCATGTTCAACTGATCAAGAATGGCATGAAAATTGCAAGCTTGCATCCAMTGTGGCCGCAGCGCAGGTTCGGCTTTATTCTAATACAGTCAACTCTCTCCATGGTAAGCGACCACCTCGGGATCAGGAAAAAGTGGTCGTTTACGAGAGATGGTCGTTTACGAGAGAGTTTTTTTTACAGAGTTTATATGAAAAAAATATATATATTATAACGGGAGTAAAACGTGGTCGCTTACGGTAGATGGTCGCTTACGAGAGTGGTCGTTCAAAGAGAGTCAACTCTATTTGTATGAACTGAAAAACTAATTTCAAGATTTCAAGTTTTAACTTTATTTATCCATAAATAAAAGTCACTTGATTTCATCYACCCAGGCCTCCATCCAAAATTCCTCTCTTTTTTGCATTTTTTCGTGAAAACGAAATTGGAGTCGAAGTTCACCTACATCTTCAAAATTTGCTCAACATTCTGCTACAGTGCTTTGCGCAAYAACACGCGAGTTTCTCTACGGACAAAGTGTTTCAGTTGCCATACGGATAACACTATAATTGACATCAACAAACACATCAGTCAGAAAGCAATGCCGCCTTACAAAAGGACTTCCATGGAAACAATCATTGCTGTCAGCCGTGAGTTTTATGACACCATAATGAACTCTTTAGGCCAAAGGGCTTGTCTCCATGGTAATCTACAAGACAGTAACTATGGAGACGCTTTCAGGACTTTTGTGAAGTCAAGAACGCGAGATTCTTTGTAGTAGTCACAGGTGTTCAGGACTGACTTCTCAAGAACTAAAGGAGTTGGTCTGAAGGTAAAATAATTGTATTAGGAATCATAACATTAGTATAAGATTTTTATAAGATTGTTGTTCAACAAATAAGCATAGCTAAGCAAATGGAAAAAGCGACAAAGAAACACTTTTATTAGAAATCTGACAGAAATGATCAAYTTTTTATAAGATAGTTTTAGATGTTGCACCTAAAAATTGACTGACTTTTTAAAGTGAAATTCTCTGACAAAAAATAGTCACGAATGGAWTATGAAATTTGGATGAAATTCTGCRACYCGACCTTGTTTGCTTGCATGTTTGCTTCCTTGCTTGTTTCCTGGCTCCTTCCGTCCCTTTCTCTCTTACTCCCTCCCTCATTCYCCTTTTCGTCCTTGTTTGAATTTTTATGCTGTTTTCTTGTATTATTCAATAGATATCAATATGGGATCAACCACCCTCTTTGCATTTATTTTAGCTATATCAGGTAATACAATCTTTAATGAATTCATTAGAATTAGAAAGYAGAGTAATAGACGGAGAAGAAGGTTCCTTATTGCGCGCGTGTGAAAGTCTGATCAGCGAATTAACTTAGCGAATTAAGCAATGAAGGCGAAAGCCGGATAACAAAGAAAACCTTCTGTTCTGTACCCTTCTTCGTTTGATTGTATCTCTTCRTCCGTACCCGGTATTTTATAAGTGAAAATTGGCTTAAGTCATTGTTTATGCATTTCTTGCTATGGTAGTATTTTTGTACTGATTGGAAAATTTGCGTTATTTTAAAACCGACGTTTTATTTTTCTCTCTTTCAGCGTTTTCTTGTTACGCAACTCAAGAATCTAAAAAAGAAGGTATCCAACTTTTAGTCTAAGATATCAAACATTAATTAGAGAAAAAAAAAGGTAAACTTGACAAGCACACAAGTAATCATATATCTTTTCATATCAGATCTAGGGGCAGTACTCGCTGATGAAACCGAACTCGATCACTTGCAAGAATCGCTTGGTAATATATCTTCTAAGACAACATAATAAAGGCCAAAACTTTGGTACTGTTTATTACTTATCATGGCCAATTAATGGAGATATTGCAATCTTAAAACCGATCAATACTCCATATTCTTGGCGAAAAACCGCTGCTTTCTTTTACAACAGATTCTCTTGCGCAAAGACCTGACCAAACAACGCAAAAAAGAGCAAGAAAATGTCGTTATTACAATAGCCTTGAAAATATGCATTTTCCCGAGTCGAGACTAACCCTGTATTCCCACAAGACCTATGGTGTGATCCTTCTTGGAATACAGGGTTGGCCTCAACTCGGGGAAAATGTAAATTGTTAGCGCTATTGCACTAGCAACATTTTCTCGTGCTTTCGTTTGTGTTTGGTAAGTTCTTTGCGTAAGAGTCATTTTCCATGTATAGTTTTAAAAACATGGTTATGATTTTTAAATGATAATCATATTTTTATAACAATACTAAAACCTTATTATTTCCATTGATTGTCTTTTACAGACGAGAACAAATATCCACCTGCCGTAAAACGTAAGAAATTGATTTTCATTTGTACATAAAATCCCTCGTGAAGGAAACCATTCAAATTTATTATWTCWCAATCTGCAGGTAGCTATGGCTACGGAGCAACCAATGGCGTACCACATGGTAAGTCACCACTGCGCATGCCCTGTAAAACAATTGATTAGGGAAATATACAAAACATACTTGTACCCAGAGCCCTAAAGTTGGAAAGTAACGCAGATAAAAGCATGATGAGTGAACAAACAGACGTTTRTTAAAATATTGACAACTTTYTTTYTCYCCAYTTCATGGGATAGGTGCCATTCCTGGAGGTGCCATGCCAGGAGGCGCCATGCCTGGTGGCGCTATGCCTGGAGGTGCTAGTCCTGGAGAAGACGTAATAAGTTACTATGGACAAACGAGTTCAAGCCGTAAAGGCAGAAAAAGTTCCAAGGGAAGAAAAGCTTCCAGCTATTATAGTAATCGCAAAATGAAATCGAGCCGCAAAGGAAGAAATGGCTACAAGGGAAGA